CCGTAACATACCCCGAAACATACCCCCGAAACATACCCCGTAACATACCCCCGAAATTGCAGGTAAAGTAGCTCCTGATGCCGCGAAACATACCCGAAACATACCCCCGAAACATACCCCGAAACATACCCGCGAAACATACCCCGACCCCAACGCGTGTCACGTGCCTCCCCATTAAAATACAAACCCATATCCTGGGGCGTTTCAGTCTGCTCTTAGTCTTATTGTTCGCGCTTTGATTACTGATGTCAACATATTCTGAGTACATCTGGATTGACGTCATGAGCCAATTCTTCCATCATCGCATGGGTTCTCTATACTACCCCCCCCCCCCCCCCCCCCCCTAGGTTCCCCAGTTTCCCCCCTGAAATAACCTTAATTCGGCTTTTTTTAATACCTACACAGCCTTAACTATGGGGGGAAGCTAGGGGAGGTAGTAGGGGAACCCATGATCATCTGGTCCAAGGTCAGCACCATGGCCGGCGAGCTCTTGGAAAGCTGTGCGCCTTCTGCTTTCCAGAGCGTTGGGGATCTGGCCGCACACGTGGCCTGCAAAATGAAGGCGCCGAAGATGGGGCACGGGGCAGAGTGCACGGCCCACTTGAAACCGTATAATATTATATAGTGGTCGGCATCATTACTAGTAGTATTCCCTTATGGTCCCTTGATCACTTGAAGCCGCAAACCAGCAACCCTGAAATATAAGACCCAAACCCTAAACCCCCAACCGCAAGCCCTTGATGTCCCATCCCCGGCGAACCGCCCAAGCTCTCATAAAGGTTCGGAAGGTCTCTGGGGAGTTGTTGGTTGTCAATATTGGGGCTTCAGGTTTAGGGTTTCGGGTTTTAGGGGGTCTGGAACGCAAACCTCAGAATTTGAGATTGCGCCTTGGAGTAAGACGGAAATCCAGCTCAGCCTAGTCCGAGACGCTCCCTGAAAGAACCACAGCTGCTTCGCAGAGACTAGGGCTTATACCCCATCTTGCCAACGGAGCCAGGCGCCAATGTGTAGCCTGACGACCTCCGCGGGCGAGAAGCTCTCGCCGCATCTGAAACTGGATGCCGTGGATGAGGAGAAGCTCTAAACCCTAAACCCTCGAAAGCCAGTGCTCACGCGCACACATCGCGCACATCGCGCTGGGACCCAAGCAACCCACTTTCAAGTATGTAAGTAAGAGAACCCTAAACCCTAAACCCTAAACGAGAGAGCTGTTTGGTCTGAACTCTTGGCACCCAAAAATGGATCTCAACTTCTCAACTGTAGCAGGTACCTTGTGTAGTCCAGGGTACGCCCCAACTAGATACCTTCCATGTTTAGGGTTTAGGGTTTAGGGTTTAGGGTTAGGGTTTTAGGCTAGAGGTGGTCATTCTTGGCACGTAGAGTGGGCCCTTATTCCCCCTTGTTTAGGGTGTGGGCTCCCGTGTAAGCCCCTTGCAACCACATCCAGTACCCCTGTTATTCCTAGGTTGCTCTTGGGTCTAGGGTCTGGGCCAGCTTACTGCCCTGGATCTGTTTGGGCTTCAGATGCTTTTTTCGGGCTACCCGAAATCCTAGACCCTAAACCCTAAACCCTAAACCCCAAACCCTAAACCCTAGACCCTAAACCTTTCAGACTTGGGGGGGTCGTGTTGGACTCTTTGAGGAGCTGACGGCTGTGGCGGAGTCCGTGGATCCACTGCTCCTTGACTGGTGGGTTTAGGGTTTAGGGTTTAGGTTTCGCGTTTCGGGTTTACGGTTTAGGGTTTTAGTTTTAGGGTTTAGGGTTTAGGGTTTAAGGTTTAGGGTCACCGGAGCTTGGCATTGCGCGTCGCTCAAAAGCACGCAACAAAGACAGCTGAAGCAGCCCCAAGTGCCCTAAATCCCGAAGAGCTTACGTAGGGTTTAGGGTTTAGGGTTTAGGGATCAGGGTTTAGTGTGTAGGGTAAGCCCTGCAAGACCTAAGCCCCGAGTCCCGAAGCAAAATCTGTGCGGCTTCGATGACTCAGGCTGATCATGCTTCAGCTACAGGAGCCGGATGGAAAACTTCTGTGGCCAAATCTCGAAGAGCTGCATCTCGACATACTCATACGTAAAAACTAATTTTAGTTTAAAAAGCCCTAAGCCCTAAAGCCTAAACCCTAAACCCTAAACCCTAAACCCTAAGCCCGAGTATTTTGGGGGGGCTCCGAGGCTTGGTCTTTTGGGTTTTTAGGCTCAGGTGTTCGGTGCATGGCGGTGTTGCGGTGTTGCGTCCAGCACAGGTCTGCTTCGTGAATCCCGCATCCCACACCATGTGCCGAAGCAAGTACCAGGGTTTAGGGTTCAGGGTTTAGGGTTTAAGGTTTAGATGCATCATGTTGCTGCTGTGAGGCAGGCAGCTGCTGCGAAGGCCGAGGAAGAGCTGGTACGATGTGCGTGTGGCATCGGCGCCCCAGGGCACCTTGCTGGCATGCCTTCGCTTACCTGGACGGACTCGACTGTGCCTGCCCCTCCCATGTTCCTCCAGAATTGCAATCCTCATCTTCTTCTTCTTGCTCCAATGATGCCTGGTCTGCTTGGTAGCCCAGTGGTGCCCTTTTGCCCCCTTTTTGGTTCAAGGTTCCTTTCCTTTTTTAACAAGCTGTTATGCCCAAATTGGTAACCTTGTTTTAAGATGGTTATACTGGGCTACTGAGGATGCCTCTCGGGCCCGCGAATCTTGGATGCCCCATGACTTATGACACTCCGGTGATCCACGCCGGAGCTCGTGTAGTGGTCCTCGGCGAGCAGGGGGCAGGCGAGACCAGGAAGCAGACCGTGCACGTAAGAGATGCGCCGATGACCCTGCACGATCTGCAGGCTATTCGCAAAGACCGCCCGGACCTCGCCGATCTGAAGAAGGCCGTGGCGCACATCGACGGTGAAGTCATTCACCCGACGATGAAACTGGTGTCCTATTCCCGGTATGAGATTACGTTCCAGCTTGGTCATGAACGCTACAACTGGGACGACATGTGATGAGGCTCTTTCCATCTGTGGCTGAGTTGGTCTATACTTCCGCTGCTCCAAGTACAGGCGTGAGAGCTCGCGGCGGTGCTGTCCAACTGACGCCTGCCAAGTGCATTCTACCGCTCCGTCCCTAAACCCAACTGCCAACTGGTATACCCTAAACCCACAAACCTCAAACCCATACTCTAGACCCTTTCTCCCGTCCTTGTAGGGACCGACCCCTCGCCCTATGTTAAGGGTAGCTCAGCGATCCCTGCATAGGGCCCCTCACCTTCCTGAAAAGGGAGCATCAAAGGGCTGCCCAACTAGTGGCTCATTCTAAGAGGGTTTAGGGCACTAGAATATGGTTGATCGCTTACGGTCCCAGCAACCATGCTGAAGATGTGTTTTTGAGGTGTGCCTAGTTCCATGAACACGAGTCCCTAACGACCATACCAAGGATGTTTCTTGTCGGGTGCGCAGCTCCAGCTAAACCCTAGACCCAAAACCCTAAAGCCTAAACGCCAAACAGCGAAAAACAATATCTGGGGGTTCCGACGTAGGGGCCTCCGTAGTAGTACCTCGTAGGCTAGAATAGATGTTCCAGCTAGTGCCAAAAATTGGGAATGCCTAAAAGTAACATCACAGCCTTAGACCCTAAGCCCTTAACCCTCACCCGTAAACCCTGAACCCTAATCCTGAAACCCCAAACTCTGAACCCTAAACCCTAAACCCCAAAGCCTAAACCCTACACCCTCACCATTCGTAGAAGTCTCCGGTCATGCATGAGCGCCCAGGAATATGTGGCATGAGACAAAGGGCCTCGGGACTGGGACCCAAAACTCCTAGACCCTAAACCCCCTAAACCCCTAAACCCCTAAACCCTAAACCCTAAACCCCAAACCCTAAACCCTAAACCCTAAACCCTAAACCCTAAACCCTAAACCCTAAACCCTAAACCCCAAACCCCAAACCCTAAACCCTAAACCCTAAACCCTAAACCCTTGTGGCGGCGTCAACCCTTGGGCTTCGGGAGGCTACATGGACTCTGAGGGGTACGACTTGTACGACCCAGACCCGTGGGAGGATCCAAAAAGTGGTTTAGGGTTTAGGGTTTAGGGTTTAGGGTTAGGGTTTAGGGTTTAGGGTTTAGTTTTTAGGGTCTAGGGATCCTCCTAAGAACGACCCCATAGAAGACAAGGGTACTATTTGGGGGCTCTACTTTCTGGATCCTCCCAGGGGTCTGGGTATAAGGCACACCCTACATCCCTAAAGCTTCTGAACCCCAGACCCAGAGACCCCTAAAGCCTGAAGTCCGAACAGTCAACCCTCAACCCTATAAACTCTATAAACCCTCTTAACGCTGTAAACCCTATAAACCCTAAATCCTGTTCACGAAAACTGCCAGCCCGAGCATGATTTTTAAGGGTTTGGTTTTGGTTCGTAGGGCTTTGAGGGTTTAAGGGGTTTATCGAATTTCTGTAAGGTTTTTGGCTTATACGGGTGGGAAGTCGCTGCGTTGAAAGCCAGCAAAACGCAGCTGGGCTGACTTGCCGTTTATATAGGGTTTAGGGTTTAGGGTTTAGGTATAGCGGGTTTATGCAGGGTTTATTCAGGAATCATGGGGATGTTGAGGTTTAGAGGTTAGTTCATGAACTCTGACAGCGTTCGAACCTATGGTCCCTTATAGTTCTTGTTTATAGGGATGCCCTTAGTGTATATAAGGGTTACATAACAAGGGGCCCTTAATTTCTATACGGGCTAAACCCTAATAGCCCCAGAACCCCGTCATGAGTTTTAGGGCTTAGGGTTCCTCAACCATGGGCCCTTATTCTATATAAGGTTAAATAACAAAGGACCCATACGGTTTAAGCCCGAGTAGCCCCAGACCCAGTAACAGGTTTAGGGTCGTAGGGTTTAGGGTTTAGGGTTTAGGGTTTAGGGTTTAGGGTTTAGGGTTTAGGGTTTATAGTGTTGCTTCTTCTCGCAAGCTTGAAGCTCAGCGTAGCTAGGCTGACACGTTGGCGCATCCAGGGCCGACACAGTCGAGCACCATGGTCCGCGCCCCTTGTCTCTGCTGAGACCCTGAATGGGTTTAGGGTTTAGGGTTTAGGGTGTAGGGTTTAGGGTTTAGGGTTTAGGGTTTAGGGTTTAGGGTTTAGAGACGAGGGTTCAGGGTCCTGAACTTGTCGAAGAACATCACACCCAGACGAGGCGCATGGCCATCAAGCCCTGAATTCGAAACCCTTCGTAACCCGGGTTTAGGGTTTAGGGTTTAGGGTTTAGGGTTTAGGGTTTAGGGTTTAGGGTTTAGGGTCCTGAAACTGACGAAACGGCACACCATCATCTAAGTCCTGATGTAAGAGCCCTTAGAAACCATTTTCAAACCCGTAGCCCTACATGAACGGTGGTTCAGTTGCCAGCAGCACATACTGCTGGGTTTCAGTCTCTCAAGAAAACCGGGAATGACAGAACCGCAAAGACGAAAGCATCTGCAAATGACCAAGCATGAAGCTAGTCTGTCCGCTTTTGAACAGGCTAGTTTGTGCTTATAGCGCTTGAGGGTTTTAAGATTGCTGGCTATGTCATCTGTACGTGCTTTTGGGTGTTGGTGTTGATGCTTTGCATTTCAGAAGCTTGAGCTTGAGACTCGTTCTTCAGTCATCTGGTCCAAGGTCAGCACGATGGCCGGCGAGCTCTTGGAAAGCTGCGCGCCTTCTGCTTTCCAGAGCGTTGGGGATCTGGCCGCACACGTGGCCTGCAAAATGAAGGCGCCGAAGATGGAGCACGGGGCAGAGTGCACGGCCCACTTGAAACCGTAGAATCTAGTTGTCGGAACAATTACTAGTAGTATTCCCTCATGGTCTTTTGATAGATAGCCTATAATAACCCCCCCCCCCCCCCCCCAGATCCTATTCTAATTTGTCAGGCCCTAAAGTGCCAATAACCTTTTACCCCTTTGGGGTATATATAGCCCTACCGAAATTGAAAGGTGAACCTTTTTTGGCCCAACGGTACAAAGCAACTTGGGAGTTGTTGGTGCTTCGAAAGGCAATGATCTTTTAGGACTGTTCGTTGTTGTTTTTTAGTTTTTTTTTTTTTTTTTTTTTGGGGGGGGGGGGGGGTTGGAGAGTGTGTTTCGGGCTGTGGGGGTGTAGGGTTTAGGGTTTAGGGTTGAGGGCTCTGGACCACAAACCTGCGAATTGGAGATTGCGCCTTTGAGCAAGACGAAAGCTAGCTGGGTTGATATCAGTTAAGTCGGCCTAGTCCGAGACCCTCCCCGAAAGAACCACAGCTGCTTCGCAGAGACTAGGGCTTATGGCCCAGCCCTGAAGATCAGGGGTTTAGGGTTTCGGGTTTAGGGTTTTCGGTTTTCTAATGGAGCCAGGCGCCAATGTGTAGCCTGACGACTTCCGCGGGCGAGAAGCTCTCGCCGCACCTGACACTGGATGCCGTGGACGAGGATAAACCCTAAACCCAATATATAATCTCTGCTGCCTAAACCCCAGTCCCTAAACCCTATAAACCATCGAAACCAGTGCTCGCACGCGCACTTCGCTTGAAGACCGCCACCACACAGACTTCAAGTATATAAGAGCTAGTTGAGCTAAACTCTTGACACGTAGGTGTCTACCTTGTATAGCTCACCAGGCCCCCATGTATAAATGCTTTTCATGGAGGTTGTAGGCCCCATTCTTGGCACGCACATAGGTTTGTACAAACTTGATGCCCAGGACTTGAGTGGGGCTCAGAATTGTTTTTGCATGCCGAACCCCACTGAAACTGAACACATGACCACCCCACCCCCCCCCCCCTGCCCAAAGGGATTAACTGAAGCTGAAGCTGAAACCGAACCCTGAAACCCAAACTGAAGCTGAAACCGTTTCTGTTTCAGTTGCAGTTTCAGTCTTATTTAATGAGCCGAAGCTGATCCCCCCAAACAGAATGAGCTGCAGCTGAAACTGAACCCCGCCCCCTGCCCCTGCTTTCGCTGGGCAAAGTTGGTCTAGGGTTTTGGCTTTAGGGTTTAGGGTTTAGGGTTTAGGGTTAAATACCCTAAACCCTAAACCCTAAACCCTAAACCCTAAACCCTAAAAACCCTAAACCTTTCAGAATTTGGGCCCCCTTGAAGGGGGGGGGGGTCGCTTTGGGTTTTTGTTGAGGAGCTGACGGCTGTGGCGGAGTTCGTGGATCCACTGCTCCTCGACCGGAGCTTGGCTTAGGGTTTAGGGTTTAGGGTTTAGGGTTTAGGGTTTAGGGTTAGGGTTTCGGGTTTTGGGTTTTGGGTTTATAGGGTTTAGGGTTTAGGGTTCAGTGTTTAGGGTTTAGGGTTTAGGGTTTAGGGCAAGAGGCACACAGTAAGACAACACAAGCAGCCCCAAGGCCCAAATCCCGAAGGTTTAGGGTTTAGGGTTTAGGGTTTAGGGTTTAGGGTTTAGGGTTTAGGGTTTAGGGTTTAGGGTTTAGGTTTTAGGGTTTAGGGTTTAGGGTTTAGGGGCTTTAGGGTAGGCCCTGCAAGCCCCGAAGATAAATCTGCATGGCTCCAATGTTTCTGGCAGGCTGATCATGCTTGAGCTGCAGGAGCCGGATGGAAAACTTCTGTGGCCCAATCTAGAGGAGCTGCATCTCGACATCGTCATTGCAAATTCGAGATGGGGATTTGGGGTTGCAAACCCTAAACCCTAAACCCGAAACCCTAAACCCTAAACCCCAAACCCCTAGACCCTAAACCCTAAACCCTAAACCATACCTAAACCCTAAAAGCAAGGTTTGCGCTTTTTGGGGTCCTGGGCTCGGGTGTTCGGTGCATTGTGGTGTTGCGGCGAACGCAGGTCTGCTTCGTGAATTTTGCATCCCACACCATGTGCCAAACCAATTACCTGTCAATTACTGGAGTACTATACTTTAATACTTCTTTTGGTTCTGGGCTCCTATTCTAGCCACTTCTATACCTAAAAAGGAAATGCTATTTTTCCAGGGTCTACTCCAAAGTAGGGATTCGGGCTAGGTTGGCATCGTGTTGCTGCTGCCGAGGCAGAGAGCTGCTGCGAAGGCCGAGGAAGAGCTGGTACGATGCGCGTGCGGTATCCGCGCCCCAGGGCACCTCTGTGGCATGCCTTCGCTTTCCTGGACCGACCCGACTGTGCCCGCCCCTCCCATGTTCCTGCAGGATTGCGATGCACTTTCGATGGTTCGAATGATGCTTGGGGGAGCCCAGTGGTGCCTTTTTGCCTTCTTTTTTTGGGGTTTATTTCGTAGTAGAGTAGGTAACCTTGAACCTTTTTTGGGGTATTGTATTCCCTTTTGAATCCCAAAGGTTCACCTTGAGTTCCCCAAGGATACTGGGCAACTAGGTTTAAGGTTCCCTGAAGAGTTACCAAGGTTCGGAGCGCCGACGAATCTTGGGTGCCCTATGACTGGTGACACTCCGGTGATCCACGCCGGAGCTCGCGTAGTGGTCGTCGGCGAGCAGGGGGCAGGCGAGACCAGGAAGCAGACTGTGCACATAAGAGATGCGCCGATGACCCTGGATGATCTGCAGGCCATTCGCATAGACCGCCCGGACCTCGACGATCTGAAGAAGGCCGTGGCGCATATCGACGGTGAAGTCATCCACCCGACGATGAAACTGGTGTCCTATTCCCGGTATGAGATTACGTTCCAGCTTGGTCATGAACGCTACAACTGGGAAGACCTGTGATGAGGCTCTGGCCATCTGTGACTGGGTCTGTACTTCTCCCGCTCCAGGTACAGACGTGAGCTTGCGAGGTGCAACTCAACTGGTGGACCCCAAGCCCACAACCTCAGACCCGTACTCTCAGCCGCAACACGTCCTTGTAGGGAGCGACCCCTCGCCCTAGTTTAAGGGTAGTTACGCGGTCCCTTCATGGGCTCCTTGTGGGTTTCTGGAGATTAGAGGTTTAGAGGTTAGGGGTGTGTAGCATGTATACGCTAAGCGTAGTCTAGTTATATGGTCTCTTAAATTTGGTCCCTTACCTTCTTGACAGGGTTCCGAAGCATGGCCCCTGGGTTGCAGACAGCGTATATAAGGGGTATATAAGGAGTTCCCCTTTAAAAGGCCTGGACTCTAAACCCTAAACCCTAAACCCTAAAACCTAAACTAGCCTTGGATATAGTTTTAGGGTTTGAGGGACTGTGTGGACCTCCCGAGCGCTTGAGAAGTTCATGTGCGGGCCTGCCTCCTCGGGTTTCGGGTTTAGGGTTTAGGGTTCAGGGTTTAGGGTTTAGGGTTTAGGGTTTCAAAGTTATAGGTTTCCTTTGTATTATCGTCTATACATACCTTCGTAAACCCGTACACACACTCTAAGCCCTAAACCTCAAACCCCAAACCCTAAACCCTAAACCCTAAATGGGTCGAAGGGTTCATTGTACCTAAGGCCCCCTTCCCTGCCTCACCCTCTCCCCACCCCTCTCCCCTCCCTCCCCCCCGTCCCCTCCCCCGCGGCCCCTCGTTCCCCCCCCCCCCCCTCCCCCCTCTTCCCGGATCTGTGCCCTAAGCTTCATGAACCCTAACAGCTGTAAGGTTCGAACCATAATTCTTGTTTATAGGGATCCGAAGTATGGGCCCTTATTCTATATAAGGTTAAATAACAAAGGACCCATACGGTTTAAGCCCGAACAGCCCCAGACCCGGTAACAGGTTTAGGGTCGTAGGGTTTAGGGTTGAGGGATAGTGCTGCTTCTTCTCGCAAGCTTGAGGCTCAGCGTAGCTAGGCCGACGCGTTGGCGCATTGAGGGCCAACGCAGTCGAGCACGATGGTCCGTGCCCCTTGTCTTTGCTGAGACCCTGAATGGGTTCAGGGTTTAGGGTTTAGGGTGTAGGGTGTAGGGTTTAGGGTTTAGAGGGTCCTGAAACTGACGAAACGGCCCACCATCATCTATTTCCTGATTTAAAAGCCCTTAGAAACCCTTTTCAAACCCGAAGGTGTACATGAACGGTGGTTCAGTTCCCAGCAGCACATACTGCTGGGTTTCAGTTTTTGCATGAAGCTATTCTGTTCGTTTTTTGAACAGGCTAGTTTGGGCTTATAGTTCTTGAGGGTTTTAAGATTGCTGGTTATGTCATATGTACGTCCTTTTGGGTGTTGGTGTTGATGCTTTGCATTTCAGAAGCTTGCTTAAGACTCGTTCTTCCATCTTCTGGTCCAAGGTCAGCACCATGGCCGGCGAGCTCCTGGAAAGCTGCACGCCTTCTGCTTTCCAGAGCGTTGGGGATCTGGCCGCACACGTGGCCTGCAAAATGAAGGCGCCGAAGATGGAGCACGGGGCAGAGTGCACGGCCCACTTGAAACCGTAGAATATAGTGGTCGGAACAATTACTAGTAGTATTCCCTCATGGTCCCTTGATAGATAGCCTATAATAACCCCCCCCCCCCCCCCAAGACCCTATTCTAATTTGTCAGGCCCTAAAGTGCCAATAACCTTTACCCTTTTGCGGTATATATATATATATAGCCCTACCGAAATTGAAAGGTTAACCTTTTTGGCCCAGGGTGCTAAGCAACCTGGGAGTTGTTGGTGCTTAGCAAGGCAAGGATCGTTTAGGACTGTTCGGGCTCGGCTTTTCTTTTTGGTTGAGGGTTTCTTGGTTTTTTTTTTTTTTTTGGGGGGGGGGGGTTGGAGAGTGTGTTTCGGCTTTTTGGTTTTGGGTTTCTTGTCCTGGAAATTTGGGGCGGGGGTGGCTGGAGAGTGTGGTTCGGGCTGTGGGGGTTTTTAGGCTTTAGGGTTCGGGTTTAGGGGAATGGAGCACAAAACCTCAGAATGTGAGATTGACGAAAGCCAGCTGGGTTGATATCAGTTAGAGTCAGCCTACTCCGACATCCTCCCCGAAAGAACCACAGCTGCTTCGCAGAGACTAGGGCTTATGGCCCATTTTTGCCACGCAGAGATTAGGGCTTATAGCCCATTTTGCCTGGCGGAGCCAGGCGCCAATGTGTAGCCTGACGACCTCCGCGGGCGAGAAGCTCTCGCCGCACCTGACACTGGATGCCGTGGACGAGGAGAATCCCTGAACCGTAATCCCTGCCCTAAGGGTCCGTGTACCTCATTATTATGTACCTGGGCCCCAAAGTACCTGTCTAGGAGGAATTTTGAGGCCCAAGCATTCCCTAAATAGGTACATGGATCCTGAGGGTTATGAGCCCGAAAGCCTATACCCTAAACCCGAAACCCTCGACAGCCAGTGCTCGCAAGCACACGTGGCTCCCAGACTCCAAGCTAATCCCACTTTCAAGGGCCTGAGGGCTGGTTGATTTAATAACTCCTGGCACCAAATGGGTTTTAGGGTTTAGGGTTTGGGGTGTGGGGTTTAGGGTTTAGGGTTTAGGGTTTACAGTAGGTAGGGTTTCGAGTTTAGGGCTTAGGGTCTTTATTGTAGCATGTTCCGTGTATAGCACAGGGTACGGTACCCCTGGCCCTGCACTAGAAAGCCTTTCTTAGAGGTTCTAGTAAGGGCCGGGCTGGGGACAATGGGGGGGGAGGGGGCACAAGCTTGCTGCAATGGATCTGCATGGAGTTCAGATCTATGTCTGGTTAACCCTAAACCCTAAACCCTAAACCCTAAACCCTAAACCCTAAACCCTAAACCCTAAACCCTAAATACCCTAAACCCTAAACCCTAAACCTTTCAGATGTGGTGCCTTGAGGGGTCGCTTTGGGCTTCTCGAGGAGCTGACAGCTGTGGCGGAGTCCGTGGACCCATTGCCCCTTGACTGGTGGCTTAGGGTTTAGGGTTTTGGGTTTTGGGTTCAGGGTTTAGGGTTTTGGGTTTTGGGTTCAGGGTTCAGGGTTTAGGGTTTAGTGTTTTAATGTAGGATTGAGGGTTTAGGGTTCAGGGTTTAGGGTAAGCCGTGCAAGCCCGAAGCCCCACGTCCCGAAGCCAAATCTGCGCGGCTTCGATGATTCAGGCTGATCATGCTTCAGCTACAGGAGCCGGATGGAAAACTTCTGTGGCCAAATCTCGAAGAGCTGCATCTCGACTTAAAATGGAGACGAGGGTTTTGGGTGTTCCGAGGCTTGCGCATGTTGGGTTGTGGGCTCAGGTGTTGGTTTAGGGTTTAGGGTTTAGGGTTTAGGGTTTAGGGTTTAGGGTTTGCTTCGTGCATCGAGTTAGGCGTTATTGGCATCATGTCGCTGATGAGAGGCAGAGAGCTGCTGCGAAGGCCGAGGAAGACCTGGTGCGATGTGCGTGTGGCATCGGCGCCCCAGGGCACCTTGCTGGCATGCCTTCACTTCCCTGGACCGACTCGACTGTGCCTGCCCCTCCCATGTTCCTTTGTGCTTTACTGTAACTTTAGATCCTTAGCCTTCTTGGGTTTATTGGGCTTCTTCATAAGGCAGCAAGAGTTGGATTTTTTTTACCACCCTCCCAAGTGCAGCCAAGGTTCCTGCAGGATTGCCTGGGGCATTTCTCACTGGCTCCGATGAAGCGCCTGGGACCCCCGAGGCAACTTGGATGTCGGATGACTCTTGACACTCCGGTGATCCACGCCGGTGCTCGCATAGTGGTCGTCGGCGAGAAGGGGGCGAGCGAGACCAGGAAGGAGACCTTGCACATAAGAGATGCGCCGATGACACTGCGTGATTTGCAGGCTATTTGCGAGGACCGCCCGGACCTCGACGATCTGAAGAAGGCCGTGGCGCACATCGACGGCGAAGTCATCCACCCGACGATCGAAGTGGTGTCCTATTCCCGTTATGAGATTACGTTCCAGCTTGGCCATGAACGCTACAACTGGGACGACATGTGATGAGCTCTGGCCATCTGTGGCTGATTTGGTCAAGACTTCCGCTGCTCCAGGTACAGACGTGAAGCTTGCGAGGTGCTGACCAACTGAGGTCGGTTCAGATACCCTACCAAGTGCATTCTACTGTTCTGTCCCTATCCCCTACAACCTCAAACCCATACTCAAAACCCCAACAACGCGTCCTTGTAGGGACCCACCCCCCCCCCCCCCTCTTTTTATTCTAAGGGTAGTTACATGGACCCTTTTGAAGAGTCCCTCATCTTTCTTAGACTTTCTGAAGCCCTAAACCCTAAACCCTAAACCCTAAACCCTAAACCTAAAGGGCTTCCCAATTAAATTTCGAAACGCCCTGAGCCCTAGACGGCGGGAGGCACTGCTGCAGAGTCTATCATGGAACTTGCACTGTAGTCGGGTTCAGGGGATTAGGGGCTTAGCGTTAGGGGTGTAGGGTTTAGGGTTTAGGATTTAGGGTTTAGGGTTTAGGGTCTAGGGTCTAGGGTTTAGGGTTTAGGGTTTAGGGTTTAGGCCTATCGCGGTTTTAGGGGCTTACGGGGTGTACAGGGCTTATGGGTTCATAGCGTTTGGTTCGTTCCTCGACAGAGCCTCCTAATTCGTCGAGCATGAGCAGCCAGAAATGTCCCGCACGAAAAACGGTCTTGATCTTGAGTGGTTAATCCCGCATTGAAGCTAATTCCCTAAACCCTAAACCCTAAACCCTGAACCCGAAACCCTAATTGTTCAGGCTCATATAGGGTTTATGGTAGTAAGGCATTTCTACTATACAACAAAGAGAGTACGTGCTACAGAGGGCGCCTGGGACACGAAGCTTTGCCTCCTGAGAAACCCTGAACCATTACTGACAGCTTGGACCTACGGACCTACAGGCTACTGTAACCCTCACATCGTGAATATTCTGAACACAAACCTACATGAACAATTCCTTATCTTATTATCTTGCATCTCTAAAGCCTCAGGGTTTAGGGTTTAGGGTTTTAGGGCAGCCCGAATCTCATCATGAATCCACCGAGACCACCCGGGCCTGCTAGCAATGAAGTCTCTACAACTTGCGGACCGGATTCGGTCGGCCCATGTAAACCCTATCAAAGTAACTGGGTTTGGGGTTTGGGGTTTTGAGGGATTAGGGCTGAGGGGATCTTGGAGGTTTTGGTGTCTTCGAGCGTTAGGGCTTAAGGGCCTTAGGTGCTCAGGAATCGATGCCCCCAAACCCCCCCCCCCCCCCCCCCCAAACCCCTAAACCCTAGACCCTAAACCCTAAACCCTAAATCACTAAACCCCAGAAGTTACAGAGTTGGCCGGGGTGTTTCAGGCTTTGGCTTGGGGTTCATCCTATGGACGCTGGCGGAGGATGAGATAGAAGTTTCTCAGATTCTGGATTTGACTTTGGGCGCGCACGACGGGACCTACAGCTGGATCAGTGACGCCACCATGGGCACGAAAGAGAGGAACCGATGTCACGTATCAATGAGGCAGCGTCCGAGTACGCGAACCCAAAAAGCAAAACCCGAAACCCTAAACCCCAAACCCTGAACCCTAAACCCTAAACCCGAAACCCTGGAAACACCCGCCATAAAAGAAATCTTTGGAACCGCAAGGCCTGCGCTGAAACAACCCTAAACCCTAAAAACCCTAAAAACCCTAAAAACCCTAAAAACCCTAAAAACCCTAGAAACCCTAGAAACCCTAAACCCTATAGACCCCAAACTCAAACAGGCTGGAGGCCGCTTGGCTGAGGCAGATGGAAGATTTGGGGGTCTTTCGGGGTTTAGGGTTTAGGATGCAGGGTTAGGGGTTTAGGGTTTAGGGTTCAGGGTGTAGGGGTGTAGGGTGTAGGGTGTAGGGTTCGGGGTTTAGGTGCGTGGTTTAGGGTTTTTTTTGTTGGGTTTTGGCTTCACGGGGAGAGGGGTTTAGGGGTTTAAGGTGTTAGGTTTAGGGTTTTCCGTTTTCGGGTTTAGGGGATAGGGGTTTAGAGGAGGGGGTAGGGTTTAGTGTTTTAGGGGCATGCGGTTTTTAGGGATTTGGTTCAAATTTTGGGATTTAGGGTGTAGGAGTTTCGGGTTTGCGGGCATGCTTTCTCGGGTGTAGGGCTTATCGAGTTGGGGGGGTGGTTTGGGTTTAGAGTTCCAACCTTGCAGATCTTCTAGAGCCTGAACACGAGGGTGTTCTGAGCATGAAGCTCCGGTAAGCCTGTTGCCCCGCGCACGCCAAAGCCGACACCCCAAAAACCCCAAAACGGCAAAGTCCTCAGCTTCCCAGTGCAACGGTTTGACAAACCCTAAACCTTATGCCTTAAACCTCTAACCCTACATAACCTGAGCTTAGATTTGCTTTGGGTGCCTATGGGCCCATGGGGTACCGAATCTACCAGAAGTCCTAAACCCAAAACCCTAAACCCTAACCCTAAACCCTAAACCCCAAACCCCTAAACCCTAAACCCCTAAAACCCCAGAAGTCCACTCTGAACGGCCGGAAGGCTTGACACCTTAGGCTGTTCAAGTTTGTAGGCTTTGGGGTCTAGGGAGCTTTAGGGTTTAGGGTTAGGGGGTAGAGGGCTTTATCGATTTTATGTGGGCTTCTGGCTTCATGGGTGTAGGGTTTAGACCGTTTAGGTTGTAAAAAATGCGTTAGAAATCTTTGAGAAGCCACCCGTGCAATCCCTTGAGCTCTGAAACGCTGAAGCTCGAACCGGTGTAATCAGCCCTACATCTTAAACTTTCGGGTTTGGGGTGTAGGGTTTAGGGTTTCCCCCAAAACCCCAAACCCTGAAACCCCAAACCCTAAACCCCAAACCCTGAACCCCAAACCCTGAACCCCATACCCTAAACCCCAAACCCTAAACCCCAATCCCCAAACCCCAAACCCCAAACCCTAAACCCTAAACCCGAAACCCTAAACCCCGAACCCTGAACCCCAAACCCGAAACCCCAAACCTCAAACCCTAAACCCCACACCCCAAACCCTAAACCCTAAACCCCAAACCCTAAACCCTAAACCCCAGACCCCAAACCCTAAACCCTGAACCTGAAACCCGAAACCTCAAACCCTAAACCCCAAACCCTAAACCCTAAACCCCAAACCCCAAACCCTGAACCCTGAAACCCTAAACCCCAAACCCCAAACCCCAAACCCTAGACCCCAATCCTCAAACCCTATACCCTAAACCCCAAACCCTAAGCCCTAAACCCCAAACCCTAAACCCCTGAACCCTAAACCCTAAGCCCCAAACCCTAAACCCTAAACCCTAAACCCTAAACCCTAAACCCTAAACCCTAAACCCCACGCCCCTAAGCATCCTGGAGCCAAGGTGGCCATCCCAAGCAGAAGCCCAAGAAGCGGCCAAAGCCCAAGGCCGCATTGAGCTGTTCATGTAGGGTTTAGGGTTTAGGGTTTAGGGTTTAGGGTGTAGGGTTCAGGGTTTAGGGTTTAGGGTTTAGGGTTTGGGGTTTGGGGTTTGGGGTTTAAGGTTTAGGGTTTAGGGTTTAGGGTTTAAGGTTTAGGGTTGGGGTCTAGGCTCTAGTTCTTCATAAGGTGTAGGCTTTAGGGTTTAGGGCTCGGGGTGGTTGCTGCTTCTCAGTGGGATTCCCACATTGGAGGGCTTGGGCGTTGTCTGAACTGTAAGGAATGTACTATAGTCGGCTCGCAGGCGCACAGCTTCAGGGTGTCTAGTTGTTCTACACTTGGGACCCCAAAGTCCCTGTATAGGAAGTACTTTACAGGCCAATGTTTTCCCTATTTAGGTACATGGACCCTTAGGGTTGTATCTTAATCGGGACATGGTAGGGTTTGGGTAGGAAGGGGTGGGCTCCTGCAGGATAGCATGACCCCCAACACCTCCCCCTAAATAAGCCTTAGGGTTTAGGGTTTAGGGTTTAGGGTTTAGGGTTTAGGGTTTTTTAAACCGCTGGCACAACTGCATGTAGTCAGCTTGCAAAATAGGTTCCATCGTCCATAGAGAGTCTTAGGGTAGATACATGGTCCGTCCATGTGACTCCTCATCTACCCCTTGAATTCCCTAGAAAACTACAGGGCCCATACTTCAGAATCCTTTAAAGAAGGTAAGGGACCACATTAAGCACCATAGAACTTCCCTGAGACACAGGGGGGCCTCGTAGTTGTCCATGTATGAGGATTGGGAGAATTCTAGTGGGTGGTATATCACAAGGCGGCTCCCCCTTTTTGGGAGCGACCCATCATGGACCCCAAGCGAGAGCCTTGTACGAACCCTCAAGATTCTGCAAGGCCGCAAAACACGAAACCCTGAACCTTAAAAGCCGAAACCCGAGACCCCTAAACCCTAGACCCCTAAACCCTAAACCCTGAACCCTAAACCCTAGACCCCTAAACCCTAAACCCTGAACCCTAAACCCTAATCCTACAACCTGAACCCTCAACCCTATCAACCCTAACCTGAAGCCCTCTTCATCCTAAAGCTTCCCGGTTGGCAGGCTAGGCCCGCTGACTTTGGCGAGGCGCGGGCGAACCCTAAACCCTAAACCCTAAACCCTAAACCCTAAACCCTAAACCCTAAACCCTAAACCCTAAACCCTAAACCCTAAACCCTAAACCCTAAACCCTAAACCCTAAACCCTAAACCCTAAACCCTAACCCTAAACCCTAAACCCTAAACTCTTAACCCTAAACCCACTGCCGTGGCTTAGGGTTGACAGGGTCCTTCTGGGGCTCCCCCCAAACCTTGGGGACCAAAAAGAACCATTGAAGTTTTTATGGTTCCTATACCTTAATAGGACCCAGAGTATAGGCTTGGCAGCTCAGTGGTACCCTGTTGCCCTTGTTTCGGTTCAAGGTTCCCGTGTAAAGTAACCAACCCCCAAAAGGGTACTTTTATTGTATCCGGCTACTGGGCTACCAGGTAGGGTATACCCAAAGTAGGGTCCAAGGGAGTTTAGTGTTTAGGGTTTGGAGTTTAGGGTTTTAGGGTTTAGGTTTTAGTTCAATCTTGAAAGGCCGAAGGCCCTGAGTCCACA